CATCTAACCTGTTCTATTTTTCTCTGAAATGAGTTCATATTAGTGCTTCTATGGGTTGTCTCCAGTCTGCACTAGAAAATTTTACTTGATGTCATAATTTCTCCCCAAGCACTGCATTTTTTCTGGAAACTGGAAACTGAAATTCACTAAAATGGATCTCGTCAGTTGGTCTCTCAACGCGATTGATACAATTTTTTCAACGATGAGAACGGGAGAAGGGGCTCCCGGATGCCCCTCCGGGACAGACCAGCTGTCTGCGGAGGACTCTGAAGATGTGTGGATATTCGTGGTGTTGGTGTCGGGTTTCCTGCTGATCGGCATTGGAGGCTACCTGGCTTACCGGAAAATTAACGAGCTGTTGAGGAATATTGGCCTGATCCCCGAGCTGGTTTGCACCATGCTGTGAATTCACAGACTCAAATAATTGTCGAGATGAATTGTAAGCTTGGGACTTTGGCCGAGATTCATTCATTGGCACAGAAGATGGATGCCATCAAGGATAGAGTGGATGAATCAGCACGGATTGGGATAGATTAATGTCCATTATTGGGATTTTGAGAGGTTAAGGACCAACAAACTGTAAGACAGAGAGGAAATTTTCTCTGTCTGGCCCCAAAACAATTTCTAACCGGAATCTGGCGTTCTTGAGCCTGCAAGGCTACAACAAAAACTCCCCCCTCAGAAGACATGTGAAATGTGCTGTCGCTATGGCAACTCAACTCTGTCTCCTATCCCAGCCTGGGCGGGACTGCGGGAAGGCCGCTGAAACGTCCAGGGTCACTGCAACCCTCCAACCCTCAATGCTCCTCCCCCATCCACACTGAGGTGACATGCGCTGCTTATCGTGGCTGCAGGAATTGAAGTGGGGATAGTCCCAACCCACCACCCCACCTAGTGGAACTTTATGTTGTGTTCTCTGGAGTCTGTTGCATATATGTCTGAGGTGTTTTTTTTTTTTAGAGCAAAGCTGCCCTACTGGTGGGAGGCTAACTCTGAAGTGCCTTTTTTTCCCCTCCACCTGAACCAACCCTCATGTAACCCTCTTATCTCTATTAAGGTAGCGCGACTCAGGGTTGCGAATGACCACATTCACCAATTCTTGTCATGTGTCTTGCCCATGTATGTCTGATCTCTGAATTGTGTGTACTGAAACTCTAATTTCCCTCTGGGATTAATAAAGTATCTTTGATTTGATTTGATTGATTTGATTACAGTGAAGCCACTTTCAGGCAACTGCATTGCTATCGGTTAACTTTTTACCGAAACCAGTATCAGTAATGGTGTATCCCTACTTTAGGGACTTGTTGTTGTCTTTAGTGATTTGTTGTTGTTGTCTTTAGTGATTTGTTGTTGTTGTCTTTAGTGATTAGTTGTTGCCTTTCAGTCGATTTACTCAGTACAACAAAGGTAAATTGGGACATCACTCCCTCGTGTGGCCTGGATGAAGACTCATCTAATCATGCTTGTAAAGGCAAATGCGTGTGATGCTGGATGGTGGCCCCGCCCTCCACCTTCAAGCCGGCATTTCTCAGTTCTTCACCTCGCTAATAACACATAAGTACAATGAAATTATTGTTAGCTATGCTATTGAAAAGTTAGCTTAACTGCTCGCTGGTGCTGATTCTGCTGCCTTCTGGTCGCCCACCGAGTGCTACCGTTTCATGGCTCTTTTAGCTTTCTGCCTCAATGTTCTTTCGTTTCTGCCGTTCCGCTCTGTGTCTTGCCATGAGTGTCGTGTTGGACTCTGCTTCGCGACCCTGTCCTCAGAGCTGTGGGTTTTTTCTCCACAAGAGGCACCTGCACAACGCCTGTCCTGTCTGCCTGTGCAAGAGACTATTGCCAAGAGAGCACTCACGGGCCTGGAGACGTGCGAGTTCTGTCACCTGCTCCATTGTCCCATGCTCGATTGGCGTGTGAACTTCCTCCAACATGTCCCGGGACTGCTGCAGGTTTGCAGCAGGACCCCATACTCTCGGAGTTGGCTCCTGCTGCTTTGCCTGGTTCCGACGTGAGCGGTCTTGTGATCGACTTCCCCGCTGCTAGCTGAGCAGATCACATGGAGGTGACAACCAGGCTGACCAAATCCAACCTGGAGACTTCCCAGTTCTCTCCTTCAGAGGGACAGTCACAACCTGCTGGAGGACGAGGAATCTCTCCTTACAGTGGATTGTGTTACTGTTATCGCTGCCTCAACTCCCGAACGGGAGGACACTTCTTTTTTTCCGCTTTGCCGATGTGAGAAACTCAAGTGGACTGTCCTGCTCCTCTCCCGGCCCAAATGAGGTCCCCTTTAGTTGATTTTTACCTCCCCACTGAACCGGCCACGGTCAAAGTCTTTCTACTGCTTTTCCCGGACTTTGAGGCCGAGCCCGCATCATTCTGGGGGAAGCCACTGTCCATACACACTGCAGTACCGGGCGTGGACCTCTGCGGTGCCGACAAGTTGGGGTTTGTAAACCTTCTCATTATGGAGCCCTCACGCAGCTTCTTTGGCGCCAACCTGAGGGGGTGAGTGGACTTGCCGTTTACCCCATATACAGTGCATGTTTTCTGCCGTACAGCTGGAGAGGTTTTACCGGGACCAGGTCACCTCCTCTTTTGCACTCAGCTCTGCCACCGTGTTGCAGACCTGCTTAGCAATGTGTACGGCGGACGTTTGAGCTCTGGTCCGACTGGTTGCTCAACCCCCTAATCAACGAGATGCGAGACCCAGATGCTCGGAACGGTTAATTGAGCCATCATCTTGCCTCCCCCACGCTTAGGATGGTGGTGTCACCAGCAGTGGTAGAAGAGCCATGCGTTGAGGTGAGTGCAACTATATCGAGTTGAAACCTCTCAACCTCGCACACCAACTCAGGCTCCTTTCCCACCAGAGAGGTGATGTTTCATGTACCAAGAGCCAGCTTCTGTAGCCGAGGATCAGACCTTGTTAATGAGATATTTTCATGTAAGACAACTTCTTTCTTTGATGTTGTTTGGCCTGTAAAAAAAAAAGATGACTGTAACCGTTTAGTGTCGGACAGATAAAAGTTTAGAGTCACAAGTGAATAAATAATGAAAATACCTAAAATTCAATTCAATTCAAAAATACTTTATTGATCCCAGAGGGAAGTTGATTGCTGTAGTAGCTCAGAATAACAATAATAATAATCAAGTCATCAAAGAGTTGTTGTATATCATAATGGCTGTTGGCAGGAAGGATCTCCAGTAGCGGTCAGTGTTGCAGCCAAACTGAAGAAGCCTCTGACTGAAGACACTCTTCCGTTGTCGGACAGTCTTGTGAAGAGAATGCTCAGGGTTGTCCATCATTTTCTTGATTCTCTGGAGAATCCTTCTTTGCATTATCTCCTCCAGTGGTTCCACAGTCGTCCCCAGAACAGAACCAGCCTTTTTTATTAGGCTGTTGAGCCTTTTCAGGTCCCTGCTTCTGATGCTTCTACCCCAACAGACGATGGCTGAAGAGATTACACTCTCAACAACAGACTTGTAGAAGATGTGCAGCATCTTGCTACAGACACTGAAGGACCTAAGCGTCCTCAAGAAGTGCAGTCTGCTGTGTCCCTTCTTGTAAACGGCTTCGCTGTTCTTTCTCCAGTCCAGTCTGTTGTCCAGGTGAACTCCAAGGTATTTGTATTCCTCAACCACCTCCACTTCTTCTCCCATGATGGAAACAGTGTTTGACACCACCCTGTTTCTTCTGAAGTCTAAAATCATCTCCTTTGTTTTGTTCACGTTCAAGGTCAGATGATTGCTTCCACACCACGCCACAAAGCGCTCCACCAGCTCTCTGTACTCAGCTTCCTGTCCATCTCTGATACACCCGACAACTGCAGAGTCATCTGAGTATTTCTTTTGTACTTCTTTTTGCTATTTGTAAAAGGACAACTTGGACGTTTTCTACTGTTTTCTTATTGTGGGCAGCAGTAGCTCAACAGGTTGAGCGCGTTGTCCAGTAATCGGAAGGTTGCAGGTTCGATCCCGGCTCCAGACAGAGAATTCTGCTGTTGTGTCCTTGGGCAAGACACTTAACCCACCTTGCCTGCTGGTGGTGGTTGGAGGGTCCGGTGGCGCCTGTGCTCGGCAGCCTCGCCTCTCATCTCCACCAGTGTATGAATGTGTGTGTGAATGGATGAATGATACACTGTAGTGTAAAGCGCTTTGGAGTCCTTACTCTGAGAAGCGCTATACAAGTGCGGGTCATTTATTAATTTAACGCATTGCTGAGGTACTGGATTGGGACTTTGGTATCAAAATCAATCATCACTCTGGAGATGTTTTGTAAACAAAGTTTGTGATCGAGAAAGCAGCCTTCATCTGACCTGAACCGCACCAGCGGGAAGGCCGGGGCTTTATGGTTTATCACAGGGACTTATTTTGGGAAAGTACCAAAGTTTAGCCTGAAAAAGACATTTCTTACCATTTTTTTCCAGTACCCTGCTCTACTCCTGTCTTGATTTCATAACTAATTATCACAGAAGGACCCGCTGGATCCCAGATCCAAGGCTGGGCTCTCACACACAGCATAAAAGTTTCATAGTTAAAGTAGGTCTGCTCCATAGCGAAGCCGGAGGACGCCGCCGGTCCAACGACTGGTCTCTATATTAGGAGGAGTCTGCTGCTCACACACCGGTGCTACAGAAAGGAGCGAATCCTCGCAAAACAGCCACAGCCGTGATTATTAAAGGCAAACTGATCACTTTCTAGCTTTTGTTGTTAACAACAATAACAAATACAAATTTTTTCATCAAACTATCTTGGTTGAGCTTATATATAAAACTGTGCAGTTTGTTTTTCGAGCATTTTCAAGGACTCAATCCAGAAAGCCAGCACTTTCCATACCTTGAAAACACATTATTAAAATTCAGGCGTTTTCAAGGACTTCAAGCACCCGTACAAACCTGAAAAAGGATGTTATATAATCCTAATTAATAACTGAATATTAGTTTTTGCATATTAAGGAGGCAGAAACTCAAAGACCATTATCACTGAGAGATGGTTACCTTGGCAACAGCTGTTTGCTTGTACATCTGTGTGACCAGACCCATGACCTGAGTGAAGGGGTTGTCGGTGGTCATGACTCCTGACCCCAGTCCCTTCATCAGCCTCTCCCACTCCGCAAAACTGGCTGAGGCCTCCTAAAAGCAAGGAGAGTACAAAGACACGGAGGTGAGACGGTGTCCTCTCCATCCCCACCCGTCCTCCACCCGTCCCCCACGTTACTGAGCTTTAAAGGGCAAAACAATTAATGGTGCTGTCGGGTGTCCTACTTTTCCCGAAACAGAGAAAGGAAAACAGGAGACAAGTTTAAAAAAAAACACACACACGAGGGGGAAGACATGGAGAATTCCCAAGGATGACCCCCCCCCCCCCCGCGCGCCGATCGGGCTGCTGTGTTAGGTGGGTCACGAACGTCTCCCAATTATAGCAGCCTTGTGACAAGCTGGGGTCGAAGATGAAGAAGCAGCACAGTCGGGGCAATAAATCACAGGCGCCTCGCGAGCTCTCAAGGTGATTGGCGAGAGGTATTTAAGGCAGGAGTACAGATCGCAGCGGAGGGGGGGGGGGGGGGGGGGTAGCGTACGCCTCCACCTGCTCATAAACAAGGGTCCCAAAGGGTCTCAGGAGCTGCTTCTACCAGCATCTAGGTTAGCTCGTCCATCAGTGGATCTTCTGCTTCATTCCTGCTGGTTGGTTTTAATTATGATATAAAAAAAAACTCCTGTGTGTCATTAAGGCTGATGCAGTAAAAGTATTTTAAAGTTGATACACCTTGTTCAAAAACCACAATCACAGTTTCCTGAATAAAGATGAACAAAAATGGAGTTTCTTCTTCATGAGACGTCCTTCAGCTGCAGACCGGCTGTAACAGCGACGCTACAGGAGGTCCTTCCTGTCCACAGACACCACAGAAGCTACAACAACGCTAAAAAAACATCCAATAATGTTATTATTGCTTCTGAATAATATGCGAGTTCTCTCTTTCCCTCCAATGAAGTACCAGAGTTAAATATACATCACAGCAAAGGGTCTGAATACTTAGAACCATGGGATATTTTAGTTCGTCCCTTTCAATTAATCTGCAGAAATTTCTAAAATTCTGTGTTTTTCTGTCTATAATAAGGAAAAAGTGAATTTAATTGATTTCAGCAAATGGCTGCAATGTAACAAAGAGTTAAAAATTGAATACTTCCCCTACCTTCTGTACCTGTCGTGTTTTATATCAGAAGCACAAATAAAGACATAAAGTTGTCTGGTATTGTAGATAATTGTGTGTAACAATATAAAATTAGCTGTGTGTATTTGTTTTATTTTGCAGACTTTTCACGATCCCTTAAATGCTAATTAGCCCACCTCCGATCAAAATGGAAGCAACATTGCCTGTTTTGATGAAAGAGAAACTTTTTTTCATGCAACAGCGGGAAAGGCTGGTATTTTATCTGTTTGATCTAAAGTGGACCAAAATAAAAAGTCGCCACCAAAAACAAAGGTTACACGCCAATGTTTCGTTGGACCACCATTAGATTTGATTACAGCACACATTCGCAGTGGAGTTGTTTCGATAAGCTTCTGCAACGCCACCAGATTTATTTCCATCCAGTGTTGCATTAATGTTCCACCAAGATCTTGCACTGATGATGGTAGAGTCTGACCGCTGCACAAAGCCTTCTCCAGCCCATCCCAAAGATTCTCAATGAGGTTAAGGTCTGGACTCTGTGGTGGCCAATCCATGTGTGAAAACATGGATTGATCATTCACTATTTGAGCCTGATGAACCCTGGCATTGTCATCTTGGAATATGCCCGTGTCATCAGGGAAGATGGAATAACCTGGTCATTCAGGATGTTCAGGAAGGCAGCTGACCTCATTCTTGGAGCACATCCTGTTGCTGAACCTAGACCTGACCAACTGCAGCAACCCCAGATCATAACACTGCCCCCACAGGCTTGTACACCAGGTACTAGGCATGATGGGTGCATCACTTTATCTGCCTCTCTTCTTACCCTGATGCACTATCACTCTGAAACAGGGTCCATCTGGACTCATCAGACAAGTTTTTAATAACTTAACCCAGTTTTAGTCGTTTCTACATCCTTAGATGTTACCTCTGCTTGATACCAATGGCCTGACCCTTCTCACACAGACTAACACCTTTTCCATGACCACCAGATGTGTCTTGCCCCACGGTTGTTGAAGAAACAAGAAGAAACTCATTGCACCAGTTGGAGTTAAACAACTTGCTGCTGCTGAAAGATAATCACCCATGCAGTAATTATCCAATAAGAGGCTTTAACCTCAGTTAAAACCAGGTGGTAACTTTTTGTTTGGCTGGGCAGTGTACTTTACAAATATGTATTCACTGTTATTTTGTTGTTTAAAGGACAAACTACACTTTTATTTTCATGTCAGGTCATTTCTTAACCGTAGCCATGATGCAACGGAGTACAGCTCTTTTCCAAATGCCATCCTCGACCTTTCACACTTGGTAGAACAGACTTTCTGCCGTACTTGCTAAAAACATACATGTTAGGTACACAGGAGCATAGTAGCATACTTGGGTATTGAGAAATGGCCCAATTTTCAGAATAAAATTGATAAGACATAACGTATGATTCAAAAAAGTGAAATAACGTTGCCAAGGCAACGCTGAAATGTCGAGAGAGTAGTGAGGAAAACAGTCTAAACGCTGATTTCACTGATTAAAGTGGACGTTGTGAACTTATTATTATCCTACCTGATGGGGTGTTTTTAAACCATAAAATAATAAGTGTTACCTCTTTTCTCCCACAAAATAACTTAAAGAACATCCTGTGATATTTCACAATAAGAGCCTCAAACACACGCATTTCTAAACTTCACTGAGGTATGAGCTGACGAGTTTTGGTGGTGTGTGACCTTCTTCAGGGCAACCATTTCCATTATAATTCATTTAAACAAGGCTCACATTTCAGTCTCAAATGATTTTATTAATTCCTCAACATTTCAACTTTAATCAGGAAACAAAAACACATTTCTCTCTTGCTGTGGTGCGGATACGTGTCCTAGAGAGCTGATAGCGGCAAGATGTGCAAGAAAGTAAACATTCCTGAATTTAATCACGTATAACCACAAAGGTCTCTGACAGAAGGCAGAGGAGGGTCATATCTGATTAGGCGCATACATAAAGGAAGTGGGCGGAGCTAGAAGCCTTTTAATTGGAGTAGATATATCAGGATCAATATAAAGCAAGTTTCTAGCAGGATCCTTGTTCCGTGTTTATGGAATGGCTACATTGGGAAGATTCCAATTCTCGAGCTGCTCTGGGTGGATGCATGTTGGAGTAGCGTTGTTAACTACATGTAAGTTTTGCCTTTTTGGATATTTTTTCTTATAGCATCTTAAGAAAAACTGTATTTTTTGGACCTTTTACTTTTCTGTTTTTGGTGCTGTGAAGCTTAGAGGATTTTTACTGCTATTTTTCACTTTTTTCACTTTTTGAGCATTTGTTATGATGTGTAACCATGGGAACAAGCTGGTTTACAATCGGGAGCAGTTGATTAACATGGGAAAGACTGAAATAATACCTCAACTGAAACCACAAATCCCAAATGAGCTAAAACGCAAGAAGCGTGGATGCAGAGCGGGAGCAAAACGGAGACAGAGAAAGAGGAAATTCAAACCATCTCTTCCATCGATCATAATGGGCAATGTGAGATCAGTGGCCAACAAGATGGATGAACTCCAAGCCCTATCAAGGACTCGGCCAGAGTATCGGCAGTGTAGTGTTATGTGTTTCACTGAGACGTGGCTGCAGGGCCATAACCCTGATTCCAGCGTCTCTCTGCCAGAATTCCTGACTGTACGAGCAGACAGAGATCTGAAGAGGAGCGGGAAAAGAAAAGGAGGTGGAGTGGCAGTGCTTGTCAACTACAGATGGTGCCATCTATGTCATGTTTCAGTGAAATGTCGTCTCTGCAGCCCAGATGTTGAACTCTTGGCAGTAAGTTGTCGCCCATATTATTTGCCAAGAGAGTTCACCAGTGTTGTCTTGGCAACCGTTTATACTCCACCTTCAGCCATTGCTGAAAATGCATGTGATGCCATGAGTTCCATTGTCGATAAGCTACAAACCCAGCACCCCAATGCATCTGTGGCTATATCTGGTGATTTTAATCATGCCTCGCTCTCTGCTACACTTCCAACATTTCAACAGTTTGTCAGCTGCTCCACCAGAGAAAACAAGACATTGAATTTGTGTTATGCAAATGTAAAGAATGCGTACATGTCCAAAACAAGACCTCCTCTGGGACAGTCAGATCACAATCTTGTTTTTCTCAGCTCAGAATACAAACCACTTGTTCAGAGGCAACCTGTGACAAGAAGAACTGTGAGAAAATGGTCACAGGATGCTGAAGAAGCCCTGCAGGGTTGTTTTGTTACCACAGATTGGATGACTCTCTGCCAAGGATATGAAGATGACATCAGTGCCATGACTGGATGTGTCACTGACTATATAAAATTATGTGTGGACAACATCATACCCACCAGAACGGTGAGATGTTTCACTAATAATAAACCCTGGATCACCAGTGAACTGAAGAATCTGCTAAATGAGAAAAAAAAGATCCTTCAAGGAGGGAGACAGGGAATCATTGAGGAGTATACAGAAGCAACTGAAGATCAAGATCAGAGACAGCAAGGAGGCATACAGGAAGAAGCTGGAGAACAAACTACAGAGGAACAATATCAGAGATGTCTGGTCAGGGATGAAGAAGAACACAGGCTTCAAGCAGAGGAAGGATTGCACAGATGGCAGCCTGGACACAGCCAATGAACTGAACAAGTTCTTCAATAGGTTCAGGTCAGGAACAAACCCAGCATCCTCCTCGCCTGTCCCCAGCCAATCAGACATCCCATCCTCCTCTGATCCAACATTTTCCAGTCACATGCCAGCTCTTTTGTCCCCTAACGCAGTCATGGACTCTTCTGGTTCTATAAATCTGTCTTCAACCAAGTCAGGAGATGCCGCTGCCCCATTTACCTCCCCCTCCCACCTATCTGTCTCTAGAAGTCAGGTGAAGAGGCAGCTGGAGAGACTGAACAGGAACAAGACTGCAGGTCCAGATGGTGTCAGCCCCAGATTACTGAAGGCCTGTGC